GGTCTGCTTGTATATTTATGCTGGAGATAACTCTGGGAGAAGCTCTGTTTCAGTTGTTCTTTTTTTGTTTCTCGCGGGACAGTTTTTTACATGACCAGTTATTCCTATAATAGGATTCCTTCCCTGATCCTTTCTTTTGTTGCTAAACAGCCTGCTGATGAATATGAATCTCTCCGGGAGTTTGTCACCAGAACTCCGAAAATTAGTTCATCTCGAAATATTGTAAGTTTCTACATGTAAAGCTTTGCAAAGTGTGAATTTTGGAATGCCCTATATTTTCTACTGGCTTTGAAATCTTTCTTTCATGTTGCCTCTATGAAGAGATTTCATGTGGAACAATTTGAGTGGCTCAATTCCAAAGGAGATAGGACAGATTACATCCCTGGTACTCTTGTAAGCTGGACCTATCTGATGAATAATCATTCCTCTGGCTGAATCCTTTTTTTGATAAGCATGTGTGTTCGCTTTGTTTATCTTCTGATTCTGTAACCTGTGGTCAGGCTGCTCAATGGAAACAAACTTTCAGGGCCTTTACCAAGCGAACTCGGCTATCTTTCAAACCTGAACAGGTTCCAGATAGATGAGAATAACATCACAGGACCAATACCAAAGTCTTTTTCCAACCTGAAAAAAGTGAAACACATGTGAGTCTTAAGAAGAACAGGCCATACACTGATATCAAACATCAGGCGCAGGTTTTTCAGTATCATCTCACAGATTTTGCTTTTGGCCTTATACAGTCACTTCAACAATAATTCGTTGAGCGGCCAGATTCCAGTTGAGCTTTCCAATCTTACAAACATCTTTCACGTGTGAGTCTTTACCACAATGTTGCCACTGTTTCCATGGTTTGGGAACATCATGATGGTTAAAGTGGTCAAACTATATTTACAGGCTGCTAGACAACAACAATTTATCTGGAAGTCTCCCACCACAATTCTCTGCATTGCCAAACCTGCAAATTCTGTATGTTCTTCTGTTGTGTGTTTTACCTTTTACGTCATTCTGCAAGTATTTGTTAGATTCATGGTTATAGACCCCTTACTGCAGGCAACTGGATAATAACAACTTCAGTGGATCCGATATCCCAGCGTCATATGGAAACTTTTCGAGTATACTGAAGCTGTAAGTTCCGTGCCACTATAATCTCAAGTCCTC